TGAATGCTTTCTGGTTGTCTAAGAATAAGAAGAAGAAGATGACGACGAGTCAAGGTCAAGAAGAATCTGGGAGTGGAAGTGGATCTTCATCAAGAGGTGGCGGCGGATTCAACGAGTTAATGGCGTACCTGAGTGAGGGCTTAGTTATAGACAGTAGTGAAATGTTTGATTTGGTTGAGTGGTGGAGGGCACGAGCATTAACTTGGCCGATCCTAACACGACTGGCAATGGATATTTTTTCGATCCCAGTCTCCACTGTTGCAGCCGAATAAGCATTCAGTACAACCGGCCAAATACTTGAAGAACGGAAAAACGCATTACAGCAGGATATTGTTGAAACTTTGGTGTGCATCAAGGATTGGGACCGTTCCGACCAACGCTTACACGATACAATCTCACCGGCAAACCAAGAATGGATCGACAAATTTAATAGATTAACTTTTAATTTTCAAGACGATCCTTCTGCTTCAAATTAAATTTTATTATTCTAATTTGTAAATATTTATTTACTTTGTAATTTCTAATTTGTATAGTGTTTATTGTAATCTTGTATAGACTTTGTAAGTTCGTCAAATTTGTAATTCGTCCCACAATGATTCTGCTCTTTTTTCCTTACCAAGTTTTTATCCCAATTGGGTTTTTCTTGGTAAGGTTTTTAACGAGTCAATCATGAATTATAAATTTAAAAGCAATGAAGAAGTAATTTTTTTTATATAATTTGTGTGTTCATTTCAAATTTTAAATTGTAATATACACATTGTAATTATATAAATACTTATAACAACATAAAAATATAATATAAAAAAAATGAAATTCGGACAGCCGGTCGGGCATCGGGCAGCCCGACCAGGCACGGGCAGGCATCTCCTACCCGAAGCCCTTCCATGGGCAATTTTCGGGTCGGGTAGCCCAAATTTTCGGTCAGTTTGGGTTCGGTACTCGGGTAAAAATTCGGACTTTTCGGTGGTCACGGGCGGCCCGTCCAAAGTTTCAGCACTAGAGACTTCAGTGACTACACTGTTAGTTGGAAAGACAATGTTGACTATGGATGAGGTGTCAACTGCTCTGTTAGAGACTGCAAATGTGAAGAAGCCAAGTAGTACGTCTCATACTGAACAAGTTTTAGTAGCTAAGTCAGATTCGAATATGAGTAGGAGTAAGTCACGAGGGAGATGCTATGATAAGAGAGATGATCATTCTCAATCCCAACCAAGAAAGGATATTGAGTGCTACTATTGTTATAAGAAGGGGCATATTAGGAGAAACTGTGAAGAACTGACAAAGCACCTTGAAGAAAAGAGAAAACAAGAAACCCAAAAGACTTCATATTCTGCAAATGTTGTTGGCGGTAGGTATGATGATGTTTATTCTATTATTGTTGATGAAAATATTTATAACTCTTGAATCTTAGAGTCTAGATGCTCGTTCATATGTGTCCATATAAGGATTGGTTTGATTCTTATAAGTCTTGTGATGACAGTGTTTTATTGAATGCAAATGATTCTAGTGCTAAAGCTGTTGTAATAGGTACTGTTATGGTGAAGATGTTTGATAAAGTTGTGAGGACATTGACAAATGTTAGGCATGTTCCTCAACTAAGGAGAAGTTTGATTTCTTTGGGAGCTTTGGACACTTTGGGTTGTGAGTACTATGCGAAGGGTGGTTTTATGCAAGTCAAGAGAGGTGATTTAGTAGCCATGAAGGGTGAAAAAGTGAAAAACTTGTATAAACTGATTGGAACTACAGTTGTATGTGGAGCTATGAAGGTGGTGCCAAGCTACAAAGAATCTTCTCCTATTGTGAAAGAAGTTGCTGGAGTAAAAGAGTACAACAAGATGATAACAGTTGAATATGATAAAGACAAGATGGTAAAGACTTGTAGCGATGAAGATACTTTGAAGAAGAAGAAGACAGTTTCTCGTGCCAAGTTTGATGAGAGTTTGAACTTGATACGTGTTTATTCTTGTTGAAGTTTGCATTGTTGGTATGATGACGAGTTTCGAGATTGGATACTCAAATGAGTGAGTTGAGAGAATTTGAGTCAATGTGAAGATTGTTGGGTAAGTGCCTCAAATTCATTTTGAGAAAGTTACTATTTTGTATTTTTTGGTAAGTTACCGTTTTCTGTTTTTGGGCAAGGGTTATTAAGAGTCTATAAATAAGTGTTTTGTGTAAGACTTTATGTGTACTCAAAGAAAAGTGTGCTTAGAGAAAAAGTGCTTCCTTTTAAGAGTGAGAGAAAGTGAGGAGAGACATAGACAAAGAGTGTAAGGGGTTTTGGGTAGAGAGAGAAAGTGAGAAAGTTTATTGAGGTGTGTAATTTTTAAAACTGTTAGTGAATTTTTCTCCCTAAATTCTGAACCACCTAAATCTTTATCTTTTCTATTTTTCTATTATTTTTGTTTCAATTTATTTTTTTACTGTGTGGGTATAAGAATGTGTTTTTCCCCCAACAATTTACAAATTTAAAGTTAATTTACCCAGTTACTTTAAAGCAGGAATACGAATAATAATAGAGCCGGGACTAAATGCATTGTTTTTTTATTTTTTTTATTTTATGGGATTTTTGTTTCTTACTTATAGACGAGGTAGAACTTTTATTTGTAGCGTTTATCTTTTTATCCTCTTTTCTGAGGGAAGGGGTGTAAATGGGTTAGGGTATTTAGTGGACCCAGAGTAGCAGGGTACATTTCAGAAATAATAGGACTATTGGAATACATGTGTCTCTTCCCATTTAATATAGTCTTAATTGGGTTCCTAATTTCATCGGAGCTCATGATATTATGAGATGAAGGACAACTTTGGAGAACCTGCTTTAATGATATTCCATAGAAAATGATATGACCATAATAATATTTCTAAGAGATAGAAATGAATTTGAAATATACATAGTTCATGGGAACTTACTGTTTTGGTTAAAATGATAAATGTTGTATAGTTGTACGCTTGGTTTAGTGGTAATTCAAAAACGAAAACAAAGTATAAGAAACAAAGGGCAAAGTAATTAGCCGGATTATGAATGGTATTAGATAAACTCCTTTTTATTTACAAATAAATCTTTCATTATTTCATGGCTCATTGCCATTGTGTTTTTAAAAAAAATAAAAATAAAGAGAAATAACGTAGACTGCAAGGTATTCCTTGAAATATGTTCTCCCACAAGTCAACACACAAAAACATAATTAAGAGGCAATGGTTGGGTAAATATAAAAGACCTTTAATGCAGCCAGGTAATAGAAAACTAGATTCGTTCTTTTCAAAAAAAAAAAAAAAAAAAGAAAGGGAGGGGGGGGGGGGGGGGGGGGGGGGAGACTGGTATTTGAGATGAGGCAGAAATAAAGATGTGAGAGAAAGAAGGTGATTGGTTTCAACTTTTAACGGTGGTTCCATGCAAGGTGCACCCCAGAGTGTAGCACGTCATTTATTCGGTTTTCTGCATTTCAAGTTCCGACAAATAATGCCGTAATTTGATCAATCTCCCAATAAAAAGAGGCAACCTACCCTCTTCCTGTTATCGAGTGGTTCTCAAGTCTCCATATATACATATAAGCGCGCGCGCACGTACGTACGTATGTATAAATGTAAGTATTTATGTATTGGGATTGAAATGTTGACCAAAGTTTTTTGGTTTTTGGCAGAGTAGAAGACGAGTATTTAAGATTAGGCACAAGTCAACTAGTGAATGGTGCAACATGCTGGGAACGGTGGGCAGTTAGAAATAGTTGGAAGGAACATCATGGCTTTGGATTTTGCACACCAAAGATAAAAAATCATGATATCTGATTCATTGGACAAAAAGTGGAAGATAAGAAGTTTTCTTCAACAGAATACAGATTTATAAATGTAGAAAAAAAAAATGTCATTAGTATTTTTCTTTGTTTGATAAAGTATCAATTAAAACAGACATCTAGATAAAAACAACAAGTTGTTTTCTTTTAACGAATTAACATGTCCTGATTCTTTTTTAATTTTTTTTTATAATAAACAATGTCTAAATGTTTGTTCTGGTAACATTCATTCTAAACAAAAAACAAAAAACAAGAAACAAAACAAAACGTTGTTTTTGTTCTATAAAAGAAATAGTTTGATTTTATTTTTATTTGTGGTTTCAATTAAACGACCTCCATTTCCGTCGAACACAGGGAACAACATGTAGTTTTTTCACATGAAGCGAGATCTGAAAATGGAATGTCATTTAGTTAATACGTCGTTCTTCTCTGACAACCAAAACGACATGTCATTGAATAGGTAGCCATTGTTTTAAGTAGATGTCGTTTATACAACAAGACACTTCTCCTAGCGTCCTAAAAAAAGACATGTCGTTTTAGTAACTATCTGAAAAGGAAAGCAAACGTCATCTCATTTAGAGCTAAATGATTTTCCTTTAAAACAAGCTGACGAGAAAACATTACTTAAATAGAATCATTGTGTGAAGGCTTTTTTGCATTGACCCCTTAATCTTTACGTGTTTGGCGGATTAGTTCCTGAACTAAAATTCTTACCAATTGACCCCCCCTAAACTTACAAATTTTGGTATTGTTACTCCAATCGATAACACTGTTAAAAAACATGAACGGACTAACTCACGTACCCCTCACGTGCTGCACGGCAAGACAGGAATTTGCTTCTATAAAAATTATTATGTATTTTTTTTTTATTAAAAATGAAAAAAAAAACCCTCCCCTTTTACGTTTTCACACACTCTCTCTCTCTCCCGTGGCTCCAATTAATCTTTGAAGACTGAAACCAGATTCGTAAAGAAAGCTCCAGCAAACTTCAACATCTTTAAAAATTGAAACAAAATTCGTAAAAGATCTCGAGCAGACATCAACCTAATTTCATTCCAAAACAATTGTAATTTTCTTCTCTAAATATTAAGGGCTCAATTTCATACTTTTAGAAAAGACACAGGAAACACAAAAAAACTATTTTCAACATATTCAAAATCGGCAATTCTTCGATTGCCCAGGCAAGAGGATGACCTGAAACTCTTGTTCAGACTTTTGGACCGACCCAGGTGAGGCGCTTCAAACTTAAAACATGCTACACAATCTGGACTTGTTCTCGAATCAGCAGAAAAATACAGCCAAAGCTACATTTTAATTTGAAAAAGTAAATATCAAAGGAAAAATACCAATCCGCCTATGGACAATCCCAGCTCTCCCACTAAGAAATTTGATCACACTTGGTCAATAGCAATTAGCAAAAAGCATTAAATTAAACTGTAAATATACATCTACATATACATAAAAATTCTCTATTATCAGAAGATAATAGTTGCATCACATAACAAGATTGAACTTGAAGTGCGGTCAATATAAAGGAGATTCAAGGCTTCCATAATTTCATGGTGCAGTCTTCACTATATGTAGCAACAAGATTTCTATGAGGATGATGAGTAACGCCAATTACGTCCTTATCATGGACCTATAATTTAACAAGAAAAAGAAAACACTTCAGAATCCTGAATTGGCGCTAATGCACACTACACCCAAGTCTTGACCAACACCAGCAATTATTTTTGCACAATAGTTTATTTATGTAGCAATTACAAAGACTAAAAGGCGATCTTGTGACCGGTGAATCTTTATTTTTATGACAAATATAATGAACTAAGCAGACAAAGCTAAAGCCCTAGTTTACCACTTAGTCCTCCCTCAGACAGAAAGCATACCTTCATTAGATGCTCTAGTTTACCAGACTGGTAGCTGAAGCAGTATATATTCCTGCGTATAATCAATAGTTTATATTAAATCACTGTGAAATGAGATGGTAAAAAATATTGTTAGCAGATAAGATCTTTTTAGAAAGAGTTTGAATAAGTCAAATAGTTTTTTAATTAGTTTGTAATTTTTCGATTAAATAGATTAGGAGTTATCAATTTGTAGTTTAAACTCAAATAAAGTAGATTAGTTGGTAGAAATCTTTCTACCGTGAACCTAGGAGAAGATAATAGACTCGGTGGTCAAATCCTAGTCTATTTAAGTGTACTTTCATTCGATTAATAAAGTAAGGTAGATTAATTAATATATGCTTTCATGGTATCAGAGCCTTGAACTCTGAATATTTCAATGGCAAAAACAGCCATGATGGGATCTTCACGTGGAGATGATTCCAAATCAGAAAACCCCGACAAAACTCCCGCCGATCAGTTCGTCACGACGTTTCAAGGTGGAGACAATAGCTCACTCCAGATTACAGGTCACAAACTCAATGGAAAAATACCTTCAATGGTCTTAGTCAGTAAAGATTGTGATATGTGGCAGGGGAAAATTCGAATACATCACTGGTAAAGCTAAAGCTCCAGCACCGACCGATCCTGCATACAAAAAGTGGTTTGCCGAAAACTCAATTGTACACGCATGGCTTATCAACTCCATGGAGCCCATGATCAGCCGCCGATATCTCTTCCTTCCAACCGCTAAAGACGTATGGGATATTGCAAAAAGAACATATTCTGATCTCGGCAATGCCTCACAAGTTTTTGAAATTCGCACGAAACTGAAGGAGATGAAATAGGGAACCAAATCGGTTACCCAGTGAAATATCTACAAGACAGTTAGCAGGAACTGGACCTTTTCCTTGAAGAAGATTCAGTGTGGCCAACTTGCAACGTGAAGCAAAGACAGATTCTTGAAAAGGAACGGGTATTCGATTTCCTTGCTGGATTGAATCGAGATCTTGACGAAGTCAGGGGCCGTGTTTTAAGCAGAGTTCCATTCCCAACAACCGAAGAAGCTTTTGCCGAGGTTCGTAGAGAAGAAAATCGCTGGAAAGTCATGTTGTCAGAAGAAGAATCATCCGGTGTAGCATCAACAGAAGGCTCAGCTCTGGCAACTAGAAACACTTCACAACCAGCAAGGAACAACAGTGATTCTAGAACCCCGCGGCGAGGAGAACGAATGTGGTGTGACCATTGTAACCGATAAGGCCATACTCGTGACATGCTGGAAAATTCATGGTAAACCTGCAAATTGGGTTCCCCGAAGACAGAATGAAGGACGAGCGCTTCAAACTCAGTCAAACCAAGACAAAGGAGCAGCAACAGAAAATCAGAAATCGCTTCCGTTTAGCAAAGAACAGATTGAGCAACTCCATCGCCTCCTCAACCAGTCACCAGCCTCATCCTCATCAACTACAAGTTTCAGATCCTGTTCTGTAGCCCAAATTGGTAACTTTTCACTCATCCTTAAAGTCTACCCTTCACTCTAAGGAACCATGGATCATTGATTCTGGTGCCTCCGACCACATGACATGTGTCTCTGAATCTTTTCTCTCTTATACCCCTAGTCATAGTTCTGCTAAAGTAAAAATTACAGATGGATCCTTGTCTTCTGTTGCTGGAATAGGTTCAAAGTATCCAAAGACTTAACACTTGAGTCGGTTCTTCATGTTCCTACCTTAAGATGCAATTTGTTGTCCATAAGTAAACTCACTCGTGATAATAACTGTGTTGCCATTTTTCACTCCTCTACATGTTATTTTCAGGACCTATCATCGGGGAGGACGATTGGCAATGCTAAAGTTCATAAGGGGCTTTACTACCTTGAGGACATAGAGAATGAGAGTCAACAAGCATTTGCATCTGGAGTTTCATCCGTTTCTGTTTCTAGTAATAGGGAAATAATGTTGTGGCATCATAGACTTGGCCACCTTAATTTTTTATATTTGAAACATTTGAAACATTTGTTACCATCCTTACTCAAGAATAAAAGTATTGTTTCTTTTAATTGTGACATATGCCAATATGCAAAACACACTCGGGTACCATTTTCTCCTAAACCTTATATACCCTCTAGCCCATTTGCTTTAATTCACAATGATATATGGGGACCATCCAGAGTTACCACAACAAATGGAAAAAAATGGTTTGTGACATTTATTGATGATCACACACGAACAACTTGGGTATACCTTCTTCGAGAAAAGTCAGAAACCTGCCAAGTGTTCCAAAATTTCAATAACATGATCCAAACCCAGTTTCAGAAAAAGGTTTGTGTCTTGAGAACAGACAACGGGAGAGAATACTTTCAATCTATCTTGGGGGATACTTGCTACAACAAGGGATCATTCATCAAAGTTCATGTGTGGATACCCTGCAACAAAACGGAGTCTCGGAAAGGAAAAATAGGCACTTATTGGAAGTGGCTAGTGCGCTCATGTTTACAATGAATGTCCCCAAATATCTATGGGGATCAATGGGATCAGTCGGCTAGAGAGTGGGGCTACTCTTCTTCCGGGGAGGCAAAGTCGTCCCTTCTACTGATCGAACCCTCAGTTCGGAGGTCTTCGTCAACATATTACGAGGCTTCAGTCTTCGGCGGGTCACCATTACTTGACTTAGAAAGGCGAACATCTGGGCAAGGGAAAGCGCAGTGCGCCTGGTGCAAATGGCTTTTTTTTTCATGATATACCAATCAGAATGGAGGGCCCTACCTACGTACATGATTAATAGAATCACTACGTGGGGGGGTCGGTCTACTTGATTCGGGAGAGGCATGAGTGCAGTTCGATCTTGGGGGGTATTCATTTGCAGTGAGTAGGGCCTCTTTCTCGTTGATCAGTTCGCCTCCGCTCTATTGAAAGGTCTCCATTCCTACGGCGGTTTTGTCAACGAACGCGTCCCGGGCCGGATTGACTAACCTAACCCTTAAGGGGGCCTTGCCATAGTTGGGTTCTCTGCTTTAGTGTGATTGACGAAGGCTAGGCAATACCCAAAACAAATGAAAAGAGATCGGGGTCGATAGTTGGCAAGGAACTGGATTCCCCCCAAACAAAAAGGGGCAGCTGCGGTCGAAGGAGATGCCATTTTAACTGTTGCGTTTCTCATAAATCGCCTACCTAGCCGCACCTTAAAATTCCATTCCCCATTGTCCCAGCTTACAAAAACCTATCCACATCTTAAAACCATACCTTCCTCTCAAGACGTTTGGCTGCACTACCTTTGTCCATATTCATCCTCAACACCGAACCAAACTTGACCCTCGAGCCATAAAAACTATCTTTCTCGGCTATTCTCCAACCCAAAAAGGGTACCGGTGTTACTGCCCTAAGCAAAAGAAAATGTTTATCTCCCGTGATGTCACATTCTTTGAAGACATGCCATATTATTCCCCCACTTCGCTTCGGGGGGAGAATCATGGCCAAGAAGCTCATGTGTGGGATTGGGACACCATTGCCCTACCTATATCTGAGACTCCACCTATGTCTGTGACCTCATATTACCCAAGACCGAAACAGTTACAACTACACCCACCACATCCGAGCTCACCCCTTCCGACATCATACCACCACCTGAAAATATGCCACAACAAACACAAGAAGTACCGGTTCTTGAAACAGGAACAGGAAGAGACCTCAATGTGCCAAATGAACAAGTGCTACGTGTTTACTCTCGGAAAAAAACATTCTCAAGGAAACAAGCCCCTCATGAACACCATGCACTGCCCAAAATCCGAACCAGTGCTAGGAACTACTTCCTCAGCTCTAGGTAATTCTGAAGCCACTTTCGAAACACTAGATATACCAATTGCCCGTAGGAAAGGTGTTAGATCATGTACACAACATCCCATTTCCAAATTTGTGTCGTATGATAATTTGTCTCCACTTTTCCGTGCCTTCACCACAAAGCTGTCTAGTGTCAATATTCCCAAGTCACTAGAAGAAGCTCTAGCTGTTCCTGAATGGAAAAATGCAGTCCTTGAAGAAATGCAAGCGCTTAAGAAGAATAACACATGGAGTGTGGTTGAACTACCACAAGGCAAGAGTGTGGTCGGATGCAAATGGGTATTCACTGTCAAATACAAGCCAGATGGATCGATTGAAAGATACAAAGCACGGCTCGTTGCAAACGGTTTCACACAAACTTATGGAGTCGATTACACTGAGACATTTGCTCCCGTTGCAAAGTTTAACACAATAAGGGTCCTCTTATCTCTAGCGGCAAATTTGGATTGGCCCTTGTTTCAACTCGATGTGAAGAATGCTTTCTTAAATGGTGAATTGGAGGAAAAAGTATATATGAGCCTACCACCCGGGTTTGAAGAGGGTAAGAGAGACAAGATGGTGTGCAAGCTAAAAAAATCGCTATATGGGCTAAAGCAGTCTCCGCGCGCATGGTTCGACAGATTTTCAAAGGTGATTAAAAGCCACGGATACTCACAGGGACAAATTGATCACACGTTGTTTGTTAAGCACTCATTAGATGAAAAAATCATAGATCTAATCGTATATGTAGATGGCTATGGAGAAAATTAAAAGATTGATCGCTATGGAGTTTGAAGTTAAAGATCTCGGGACACTGAGATATTTCTTGGGAATGCAAGTCGCAAGAAGCAAGAGGGGAATCTCCATATCACAAAGAAAGTATACACTAGACCTATTGCAAGAAACAGGTATGCTGGGGGGCAAACCAATAGAGACTCCAATTGAACAAGGAGGCAAGGCAAAAATGATTGATGGAGAGATGGCTGATAGAGAAAGATATCAACAGCAGTGGGAAAACTAATATACCTCTCGCATACATGACCAAACATTGCCTTTGCAGTTAGCGTGGTAAGCCAACAAATGCATTCACCGTGCCAAGGACACTTCGAAGCTATTTATCGAATATTGAGATACCTCAAGAAGACTCCGAGAAGAGGATTATTTTTTGGAAAAGAAGAAAACAGAAGGGTGAAAATCTTCACTGATGCAGATTGGGCCGGATCTGTCAAAGATAGGAAATCAACATCCGGATATTGCACACGCCTCTGGGGGAATTTGGTGACTTGGCGCAGTAAAAAGCAATCCGTAGTAGCAAGGAGCAGTGCTGAAGCTGAATACAAAGCCATGACTTATGGTATTTGTGAAGCAATTTGGTTGAAACGGTTGCTAGAAGAGTTGAAGATCAGTTGTGAGTTTCCTATGCAGCTCTACTGTGATAACAAGGCTACAATAGCATAGCACACAATCTAGTCCATCATGATAGAACTAAACATGTGGAGGTGGATAGACACTTTATTACTGAAAAACTAGAGAAGGGAATTATCAGCATTGAGTACATTTCTACAGGCCAACAGGTTGTGGATATACTCACCAAAGGACTTCCTGGACCAATGTTCAAGTACTTTGTAGGCAAGCTTAGGCTCATTGATATCTACAGCCAAGCTTGGGGGGGAGTGTTAGCAGATAAGATCTTTTTAGAGAAACTTTGAATAAGTCAAATAACTTTTTAATTAGTTTGTTATTTTCCGATTATAAAGATTAGGAGTTATCAGTTTGTAGTTTAAATTCAAATAAAGTAGGTTAATTGGTAGAAATGTTTCTACCGTGAACCTAGGAGAAGATAATAGACTCGGTGGTCAAACCCTAGTCTATTTAAGTGTACCTTCATTCGATTAATAAAGTAAGGCAGATTAATTAATATCTGCGTTCAAATATTATTCATGCCACTCTACTAAAAAATAAACAATTATCATTCAATTAATAAAGAGAAAACAAAAGGTCACAATAACACCTAATTATTTAGATAGGCCTGCACAAAACCATGGCAAACCATGTACCTTTCTCTAAATTGATTTATAAGAAGAGTAGCGCCACGAACGTGTACTATTGAAAACAAAGTACTAATAGCAAGAATTTGTTTGACATTCATGCAAGGCAGCAACAATTAGTAGGTGCAATCGAGCATTGGGAAACAGAAAGAACAGTAAAAAGGATATCATAAACTATTGCATCCTTGATGGTGATATGACGCAAGTAAAACTTTTTTATGTTTAGTTTTCCAAATACCTGTCTTCACCAACACAATAAATCCATTCCCCTTTTGGTGACACACACGCTGCCACAAAGTCTCCACCCTCTCTTTTACCCGATGAAAAGCTCTTCACAACCTACGCCATGATAATAATACAAAGAAATTCAAGACACATAAACAAATGTTCTTGTCTTTAACTTAGATTAAGAATAGGTACCTGTCCTTGAAGTGTCATGATGTATATAGACGATGTCTTGTTGCATACAACAATATGATCTGTATTCTTTGGGAAAAGATGAACAGAGTTCACAGAGGCATCACCTCCCTAACGGCCAAAAGGGAAAAGAAGAAATTAGGCACAAGAAGAATAAAAAGGAGTATTAAATACTAGTGCATTTGTATGTGCTTGTGTAAATATGCGTTAGTTGTATAGGTTTGTGTCTGTAAAGCAAGACAACATTAATAGATTCCTCTAGTCCACAAAAAAAACAAAAAAAAAAAAAAACCCTTAGAGGAGGTGGTGGCTTAAATGTCTGCAGACAGTCCGTTGTCTTCACATCCCAGACCTGTAAAAATGAAAACAGGAAAAGATTTTGAAAAAGAAGAAAGCAAGTCAAAGAACATAATCTCCTTAGCTAATGTGAGGTCATCAATTATAAAGCATGTCTTAAGAAACTCACCTTGACCGTGCAATCACTAGATGCAGTAATAACACGAGCACCATCATTTGTAAAGATTGCATCGTTTACGTAAGATGTGTGACCACGAAATTCTTTTAACAACTTCCCAGATTTTAGGCCATGGATCCTGCATCAACATAACCTACTTCATTACTAGATCAGAGCAACCTCAAAGGAACATGTGGCATAGCATTGAATAATATTGTAAAACTGTCACATAAGCAGCATAATACTAAAATAAAACAAAAAAAGATGGAAAAACCAAAAGTAAAGTTAAAAAACAAAAACCAATAATGATTAATAGAAAATGAGAAAACTGATATCACATCTGAAGAAAGTTTACTATGAAGGTGGTGAAATAGGAATATATGAAAAAAAAAAAAAAAAAAAAAAAAAAAAAAAAAAAAAAAAAAGCTGTAAATATAACAATACCTTGCAGTGCTGTCAAATGATGTACTTAGTAATTGGCTTCCATCTCGAAAGAAGGAAACACTTGTGACACCCTGAGAATGTGCACGTTCAAGGCGGCGCAAACACTGACCAGTCCTTATACGCCAAACCTGAATGCAAAGTTTATCAATAAATTGAGCTGCAAACTTCAAAACTTCAGAAACAATATTTTATTCAATTTATCATTAAGAGAGAGAACATTATTTTGAAAAAGAAAATGTTATATAGAACACCTATTTCAAGGTATGGGGAGCAGAAAGCATGAGTGGCCTTGTTAATTATCTTTATGGCTAGCATTAAAACTTTCTGAGACTCATACTATAAAGCAACAAAAACTTTTACTTAGAACACCATAATGTTGATATTGAATTAGCACAAGCATCAATTCAACAACCGCGTACTAAAACTTCAAGGACCAATAGAGGGAAAAAGGATTTTCCTGATTCCGGAATGCACTACTAAAACTTACTTTGATCTTCCCATCTTGTGATCCAGATGCAAGCATCTCCGAATCTCTACTAAAATCAACACAGAGAACTGGATCATCATGCATCATGAAAGCTTCCTACAAAAGCGTGTACATGTCAGAAACAAACGCCACCAAAGAGACCCGCTATGTTTACATTATGGATGCATTATGAATTTCATACAGAACTGATCAACAAAACAAATTGCAAGCAGTCATCTCAAATCAGGTAATAAACAATGTTTTTAAATTGATAGAGTCAATTTTAAGTTGAGAATGCTGCTTAAGAAATTATATTACATTATCACTTAGAGAAAGGAGTTATGAATGAAAAACAGTATGTATATATATATATATATTGCTACTTGACAAAAGTAAGTTCTAGTTAGCATAAATACCAAAGCAATACTAAGAACTAAAAAAGCAGACATTATACCCTCCAAAATAAAAAATAAAAAAAAAAGAAAAAGTTCAGAATTCAAAAAGGAAGAGAGAGAGAGGAAAAAAACAGAGAGAGAGCTTACATCAGCCTGGTACTGTAGATCCTTCTTCAGTTTCCCACTAATATAATCCCAGACCTGATAGTTATCGAGAAAGGAAAAAATAAAAAATATAAGATGACACTTAGATATCCTCGTGTAGTTCTCAACAAAACAAGCATTCGACAATGTCCCTTATACCTCAATAAATCCATCAACAGAAGAGGACACAAGAAACTGTCCGTCTGGTGAGAAACGCGCACACTCTGCATGACTTTTTGTCCCAAACTGTACCGAGAGACCACAAGACAAGTAATCAATACAACCATCTTAGTTCACAACAATGATACATTTAAACTGCAACAAAATAGAAATAAAACCCCACTTTTGCTACTCTATGAACTTCAATCTATTACCTAAGTAACAAAAGCATCATGGATCTTCTGCAAGGGAAAACATTTGTGCTTATTGGAGTAAAAATCTTTGGCACACAACATTATTTGTTGGACACAAATTTACAAAATAATACCAAGAACAACAACTGTTAAAAGAAAATCTTCCATATTTCATTTGTTTCAGAACAAATTTCAGAATCCCTGGTAGTAATGCAACAGCCAACAATGTCCAACCAAATACATGAAGAACTTGCCTTTATTGTATGTGCAAGAGTTGATGGAAACATGTCATCGACATCTTGTTTCATAGCAGCTGTTCCTCTAAATAAGTCGAATTGTGTGCCTGGAGGAAGTAATCCTAGAAGATGGAAAATGAAAGGTTAATAACTCTTAGTGTTAACCACTTCATCAAGATGTAAGCTTCTCTAGAGCATATGCACCAAGATTTTATACTAGGCACTATAAGAAGTAAAAATGCTTATGGTGTAAGATAGAGAGAAGGGAGACTAACAAATAACAGAAATTATCCAACTATCAGTAGAGGAAAATTACTGAAATAGATTTGGAAAACTTTTGTCTTATTAAAACTCCCAATAAAATATTAGGAAAGTAAAATTAAAACTACTTTCTATATTCATTAATTCATCTTCCTCATAAGCTATTCTCGTTCCTCATCATCATCTTACCTTGGTGTTGTTGCCACTTAAGGGCCTGACCAATTAAAGCCATTAATCTTGAAGGCGGCACTACAGTAACTTCTGCTGCAAGTGCTGAAACAGAGAATTGTGTTAACAAAAACAAGAATCATTACTCTTACCTGCACCTGTTAAAACATTCAAGAGGAGAGTAAAATATTAAAGAAAGAGTTCACATGAACTTAATTATACTTATTATTAGGCAGTTCCATAACAGTACGACAACTTTTTAAGGGGCTTTTCCAATCTGAACAAGCACTCAAATCACTAATTTAACACTTTCCCGCAGTTTTCTTCCTACAAAACTCCACTGTCATCAAAACTTATCGATAACTTTTTTTTTTGGGAAGCCAGCTTCTCACCCTTATGAAGATTGAGGTATCAAATACTTTTCCCCCCCTTTCTGTTACCCCCTACTGCAGCTCATCAGCTTTCTACTTCCTTTCCTCACTTAGCTACATTTATTATTTCTAAAAAAGGAAAAACAAAAAATGTCTAGTTCACTATAAAAAGGGACATCACATCTGACGCTTTTTTGAGATTGTAACCCAGTGCTTTATTTACTTTACTACAACAACCAAAGTAGGGAGATGAGACCAAACCTTGAGCAATTTGTGCACGGCGTTTCTCTTTTGTTGATTCTTGATAAGCCTATTTGAGCAGAAAAGAACTCAGTAAAGTGTAAACATCACACAGGCAGATATTTGAAATGGAAAAAGAAAAATAGCCAAAGCTGAAATATTCTGTCATCTTCAAAGTTCAAAGATACACATTTAATCAACACCACAACGGAAACCGCATCAAAATGTTACACAAAGCGAAATCCAACCAATGAACATTCAAAGTGAAGCGTGGTGCATTTGCAAATAGGACCAGCATACATAAAGCAATAGATTCAGCACAGGGAAGAAGTAAAAAAGCCAAAAGATAAAGAATTACACGAAAACTTGCTTTATACCTCGTTCGGATCGAAATAAGTTCTGACCAGGAGATGCTCGAGCCGCAAGTATCTCTCCGATTGTTCTTGCTTCATCACACCCATCACCTGAGTTTGTCTTAAGATAGCACGAGCAGTATCCAATTCTCGAAGTTCAATCATTTCCAACACAATCTACAAAATTTTGCAATAAAATAAAAATTTTAGAAAATTCACCTTGCAAATTGGGATCCTACGCGTTTCTAACTTATTTCAGACGAAACAAAAAAAAAATTTCCCTTTTTGTTTGGCGTCTTTCGTTTAGTAGAACACTAACTACTATATATACATATATAATACAAAATATATCAGAATGTGTTGTAAATCCACATACCTGCTCATACAAATCTTCCAATTTATTCCTAGGAAGTTTAAGTTGAGAAACTTGAGGCAGAATTGCGTCCCATCTCCCACTGTTTATGTCGGCGACAAACGTCTCAACGCTATCCACAGTGTTCAAAGATACCTGGCACTCGCTCTGGAGCGTCTGAAAGGTTTGGTGCAGCGAATTTTCTTTACAAAATTGAAGCACAATCTTGATCACACTGAAACGAAACCGCCAGATTAGAATTTCTCGCTAAAAAAAAAATTAGATAAACCGCCATATTTTGCTGTAGAAAAATATTAGGATCGGGAATTGAGTGACATTGTAATCAAAAGGAATAGAGCTTACTCTCGAGCTTCGATTTCTAGGGTAGACATTTTTCCTCGGTGAAATTTGAGAGAGAAGAGGGGTTAGGGTTTTGCAGGTAAATGTTGAGTTGAGTAGTGAGTTTGGGAAGAAGGAACTACTACCAAAGGTGGCTAACGGACGGTGTAAGGCCGCGTTTGGATGGGTTACTACTTCACCGTCGGACTATGTCCAGGGTCACAAGCGAATCATTCTTGGGCCTAAACACCATCTCCACCAATAAATTGGACTCGTTTCCGGGTCCAAATGCAGCCCAAAATCTCATTACCAGTTGGGGAAACCAGACAAATGCTGTGTTTGGAATTATTTTTACTTTTATTTTTCACGTTTTTTGAGAAAAAAAATAAAAATGAAAAAAAAAATAGTGTTTGAGATAATTAAAGATAAAAAATAAAAATAAAAATAATTTTTTAATTTAGTGTAAAATGAGAGAAAAATAAAAAATGACTTTTAGTTATTTTTTATTTTTTATTTTTGTTTTCTCTTCTCTCGAGTAGGGAGAGAGTTGGATTTTTTTATATTGAAAATAATCTTTTGATAAAACTACCAAATGCATTTTTAAAAATAATTTCTGTCTTTGAAAAGGTTTTCATTTCCATTTTCATACAAAAAATAAAATCATTTTGAAACGAGTTTCAAATGCACCCAAATATTGCTCATAGCATATCAGTCTGAATTTTTACTTTTTTTTACTGAAATAATTGAATTTTTACCCGATTAATATCCTTTTTAATCAAATAATCATATTAATTAAAAGGGCATTAACCAAGAATAAAAGGTAAAAATCTAGATTCATGCATTTTAAGGATAAGTTTATCAATTTTCTCTTCCCACCATTTGAGCCTTTACTGTGTTTTTTAGGGAAAAAACCAGAAATACCATTTAAAGATAATAAAAGTATTATTTATGTCACTACATTTAAAAATAAACAATTATCATTCAATTAATATAGAGAAAATAAAAGGCCATAATAATACCCAATTATTTAAAATAACATAAATGATGTGTCCGTCTAGCTGTGCTAGGAAGTCTGAGATCTCACCGGCACATGATGGCCACTTCGGCCTCCTTCCTCCGCATGACGCCGATTTCGACCTCTTAGGCCCCGTTCACTTCGCTGATTCGAGTTGAGATGTGACTTTATGTGAGAGCTTTTTACTGTAGCAAAAAAATTAGATGTGATTGTTTGTGAGAGCTTTTTACTATAGAAAAACTCGAATTCTAAACTCAAATTAGCGAAGTGAATGGGGCCTAAGTCTTTACTCCGCGTGACGCCAATCTCATATCTCCTCCACACGACGTTTATCTCTCCTCTACTTCTCCACTGTACTGATAGCCATCGAGTTTTTGTGTTTTTGTTATTTATGGACTTTTGTAATTTATGTGTGATAGGTGGATTATGTGGAACTTGTGTTCTTTTCTGTGATTTTATGTGCTTTTTTTTTAGTATAGGCTTTCGGTTGGCAACTGCTACTAACGGTGGTATCTAACATATTTAAGTAGTACGTGTTGATAATCTAATGGTTACCGATAGATAGTTGACTAGGTGGTTACCAGTATTGCAGCGGTTACCAGTCGGTATTGTGATCAGATACCTATATCGTAGCAGTATAGGCCAACTAGTACCAACAGTTGATTTAAGAACCTTATAAGAAAAGAAGTCTTGGGTTTAAGTGTTGGGGGACGCGAAGAAATCCGCGAGGGCCGTTAGGTAGGGCTGTAAGAAATCACCCCGAACCCGACGAATCCGGCCGAGCCGAGCCGACCCTACTCAAAAATCACGGGATTCTAATTTTTTATTTAATTTTCAGTTTTAATTATGCCTAACCTGCACTACGCGGGTAGGGGCGCGGGGGGGGGGTACATGAACCCGATGTACCCCCACCCTCCCGAACATGTTCAAAGTAGGTAAAACAATGTCCAACACTTCAAATTCTTACTTTCATAAGTTTATGGACTTTATGCATTTAAACTGTTAACTTATTTATGTTTTGGATTCACAGTTTGTGTAAAAATGCTTGTATGCCTTAGTTATTGAATTAGGACATTATTTATATTGGAAGTATTTGATTTCAAAGTGAGTGTTTTAATTGTTCACCTTGCATTTAGACCCCCTCTTGAAGGAAAGACATGTTCTGTTTGATAATGATTTCTTCTGTAACAAGCATAGATTAATTGACTAAAAAGTGATCATGTGGTCCTTGAGATCACCAACCCGAGTAACCCGACCCTACCCGAGGTCACCCGAAAGGTTGCGGGTTTGTAGACTTAAAATAGTGTCGCGGCCTAAAATTTTCTCAACCCGCACTGATCGGGTAGGCCCAATTTTTCGGCTCAACCCTACCCTACCTAGCCGATTTACACCCCTACCGTTAGGTGTCTAGAAAGGACAGTACGTATGAGTAATGAGTATAAGATCCGACTATATCGGAGTTTCCACAAGATTGACCCATAGAGAGTTGAGGTGTTACACGAGAAAGTTCATCATTAATTCTCTTTAAATACTATCTATAATGAAAGATCTGGATTGACTTCTCTCTAAATTACGCCGCAAGTGAAGTGGCAAAAATTTGTCAAGTTTGGTATATGCTATGATTTCCATGCGTGTTTTGTGTCTTACCAATTATAAAGTGATTTGTTAATTGTCACGTTATTTGCCAGCAGAAATTTGGAACAGAAATTAGCTCGAAGAAATTTAGGAAAGGAATTAGTTCTGCCAGCATTTCTCAATGCTCGCTAAACTAGTACTAATGCTAGGCCTTACAAGTAAAAATAATTGGATCGCACTTCGAGATGAAGGATTAGTGTCTTTTCAAACATCTGCTTTCTTGCATGCCTTCTAAACTGAACTGGCAGTTTTTTCTGCTTCTGAATTTTCAAGACAGACCAAACCACTTGCTTTTCTTTTAAAAAAAAAAAAAAATGTGTTGACAGTTGCTTCTACTCCTCAGTTTAGTGAACCTTGACTAATGATGTTGCCTTGTATTATTAAGTGGACAAGAATTGAAACATCATTCTTTGCACAAAGGATCTCGATCCGTTCAAACAGTGAAAATCCAGCTTGTTACTACGTACATCCTACGTTGTTACCCTACAATCCCTGTTTACGGTAAAAACAATTATGAATCACAAATGGGCCTTAAAAAAAATTGAGAGGACGAAATAAATTTTAGGAGAAAAAGAGAAATAGACTAAGACTTGAGATGAATTAAAATTAATAAGTCAATAGTTTACATAAGTTAATAAATAGGCCAAATTACTGTTTTCGTCCATAACTTGTCCGGTTATGAACCATAACTTGATAAGTTATTGTCTATAATTGTCTATAACTTGTTTGGCTATGAATCATGACTTGATAAGTTTGTCCATAACTTATCTGGTTATGAACCATAACTTAAAAAATTATGGACTATTAATTTCTATAACTAAAAATTAACCTATATACTTTCTTAAACTTTTTATATTGACATATTTTCTATTATTTCCTATTAATTTTTGTGTTAGCTTAAAAAAAAAGAAAAGGAGATTTAAAATAAAATAAAAAAAAGAAATGCACGTTTTAATAGAATATGGTGTAAAAATGTGAAATAAAACGTGGCGCAGAACGTGATGTTTGTTCTCTTATATAAAGGAAGCCAGTGAGTGCAGAGGAAGAGAGGACGTGAAGAAAAATTTTTGGCCTGGAGACTTTGTGCAGAAGAAAAGTGAAATAAATAAATATATATATATATTAGAAGGTGCAGACGTGCTTGGGGAGGCGAAGGAGAAAAAAAAAGACTTCGTGCAGTGTGTGTGTGTGCAGGATGAAACAAAAAGAAAAAAAAGACTTCTGGCAGGCGTGTGTGCAGAAGGAAAGTGAGAGAAACAAAGAAAAAAATACAGTGTGTGTAGTCACGTAACTTTCTTTTATACCGAAGTATATCTCAAGATAAAAAGTTCATCTGTCATTAGTCAGATTCATGCTAAAAAATTATGAGGTTGTAAGTTTTAAAATCTCAAAAAAAAAATAGAGTAATAAATTTTAAAATTTTATAAAATTATGAAGTTGTAAGTTTTAAAACCTTTAAAAAATAGAGTTATAAATTTTAAAACTCTACAAAATTATGAGGTTGTAAGTTTTAAAACATCTGAAAAATTAAATAGAATTGTAAATTTTAGAACTCTACAAAATTACGGGGTTGTAAAATTTAGAACCTCTAAAAAATCAAATAAAGTTACAAATTTTAGAACTCTACAAAATTACATAGTTGTAAAATTTAGAACCTCCGAAAAATCAAATAGAGTTGTAAATTTTAAAACTCTACAAAAAGAGTTACAAATTTTAAAACTCTACAAAATTATAAGGTTATAAATTTCAGAATTTTGTATAATGAATCTGACTATAATAGTATAGTTCAAAATATTATTATAATTTTGAGGCGAACTTATAAAGTGCAGTTTAAGCAAAAATTAGAGATCACTTACATGAGAGCCTCTTTTCATTTCTTGGGAAAAAAAAGAAGAGAAATAAAAAGATCAGCCAAAGAACTAGAACAAAAGATGACAGAAAGGTTAAATAAAAAAAAATTACATTCAACAACGTCTCTTTTGTTCTTTTGACTAAAAGGTAAACTCTTCTTTTTTTTTTTTTTAACCTGAAATTGGAGAATGACTCTGCAATTAAAGTTTTGTCAGAAGAAATATAATTTGACACAAAAAATCATATATGAATACATCATATATATATATACATGTATGTGTCAGTATATATGAAAGAGGAGTCTGAGAAGACGCTGACACGCGTTTTCTACAAACGTCTGCAAAGAAAAGAATATATACACATATGTATATAATTTATATATACCATTAATATGTATATATATATATATATATATATGTATGTATCACTTATATGTTGCCGTGTAAAGTTGCTGTGACTTTTGCAGTGTAATGGTGTATATATATATCAAAGAGTTCACGTTAGACTTGTTGTGGCTTGCTATGCGAAAATGGCTTGCTGTGGCTTGCTGTGACGCAGGGAAAAAGGGTAAATGGCTTGCTGTGGTTTGCTGTGGCGCTTGACGTTAGATATATATATAGGAATATACATCATATAATCGAATCAATCAATTTAGATATGATGAAATTCATAATTAAAAAGAGATAAAGGATAAAGGATAAATTTTAAAAAAAATTCAGAATATTAAATATTTCAAAATTTAAAGTGCACAAATTGGGCCACTCTATGGTCTTTTAGTTCAAAAGATGAGCCTATTGTCTCATAAAACTATATGGTGATTAAATATAATGTTCAAATCCCAAATTCAAATAAAAAAATATCAACATCAAATTAAAAAATGATCCTTTTAATTCCTCATAAGGTCATATACCGGAGAATTATCCAAATACAACTCTCAAATCCAAATTCTAAAGTAAAATTCCAAATCGAATTTTAAAACATCTTTGAATTCCTCCTATGGTATATATCGAGGAATTCCCCAAAATCCAAAATTCAAATTTAAGAACTACGGTTGACTTGATTCCGCAAAGGATACGTAGGCAACTTAAAATTTAGGTGCAGTTTCAAGACCAAATTCAATTCTAAAATTCCCATCATAAAAGATAAAATCAATACAAAACCAAATCAAATTTCAAAGTGCGTCAATTTCTCATAAGGTCATACACCGAGGAATTATCCAAATTTTCAAAACCAAATTTTTGAACTACGATTGACTTGATTCCCTCTCGGATATGTAGGCAACCAAAATTTTAGGTGCAATTTCAAGACCAAATTCAATCCTAAAAAAAAATCCTCATAAACGACAAAGTCAAAACAAAACTAAATCAAACTTCAAAGTGTGTAAGTTTCTCATAAGGTCATACACCGAGGAATTATCCAAATTTTCAAAACCAAAATTCGAACTACAAGTGGCTTGATCCCCTAATGGGGTATGTAGGCAACTCGGCCAAATTCATCGAGTTCAGCCGCAATTTTAAATCAACCCAAATTTCCCAAATTCACAGAAAATCGAATTTATTGTTTTAACTGGAATCAAAAGGTCTTCCCTTGTACTAAGAGATTGTAATTAAGAGGTTATTCTTATAATCTTGAATGGGTCGAACTAAAAATAATAAACTCCTATGCTAATTAAATCCTAGTGTAGGTGAAATTATGTTGTGTGTTAAATATTATTTCAACATTAATGAATATTTTCACTCAACAATCCCACCCACTTACTTTGTCATTCCTACACAACTGCACAACAATTTGTAATAATTTAGGGTGTGTTTGGTTGCCTAAGGGTGTGTTCGGCTGCCTAAAAAATTCAACTCGAGTTCTAACTTTATTCAAGTTCATGTTCTTTTAAGTTTGAACTTGAGTTTGAACTCGAGTTTGGGACTAAAACTCGAGTTCAAGTGTCTCATTCAACTCGAGTTTAGAAACTCGAACTCAAATTAATGAATAATATTTTTTCTATTATTAAAAATGTTATAACTTTTTCGTTATAATCCTGATTGAGATGATTTTTTTCTATGCGTTGATAACGAAAAGACTAATAAAACCCCACACATATACCCTATTAAAATTTTTCATCAAAATTGAGTTTTTATTAAAATATTATCTAAATACAAATTTAAGTTTTAACTCACTCAAATACAAACTCAAAAAAAGATTCTTATCTCAAACCATAACTCAAATGTACACAACCAAACACAAACTCAAGTTACAACTTCAACTCAAGTTATAACTCAAATTCAACTCAAAAACTACACTAAAGTCACACTCTAAAAGAACAGACCCTAAAAAACTCAAAAAAAGGTAACTCGAGTTCCAACTTTATTTAAGTTCATGTTCTTTTAAGTTTGAACTCGAGTTTGGGACTAAAACTCGAGTTCAAGTGTCCCCTTCAACTCGAGTTCAGAAACTCGAACTCAAATTAATCAACATTATTTTTTCTATTCTTAAAAATGCTATAACTTTTTCGTTTTAATCCTGATTGAGATGATTTTTTTTCTATGCGTTGACAACGAAAAGACGAATAAAACCCCACTCATATACCCTATTAAAATTTTTCATCACCATTTTGTTTTTATTAAAATACTATATAAATACAAATTTAAGTTTTGACTCACTCGAATATAAACTCAAAAAAAGATTATTATCTCAAACCATAACTCAAATGTACACAACTAAATATAAACTCAAATTACAACTTCAATTTAAATTATAACTCAAATTTAATTTAAAAACTATAATTAAGTCACACTCTAAACAAATATAGGTCCCGTTCACTTCGCTGATTCGAGTTTAGAATTTGAATTTTTCTACAATAAAAAGCTCTCACAAACAATCACATCTAACTTTTTTACTACAGTAAAAAGCTCTCACATAAAATCACATCTCAACTCGAATTCTAAACTTGAATCAGCGAAGTGAACGAGTCCATAGACGCTTGAAAAATCTTAAAGGCACCATGAAATGACTACTTATATATTTACAATTGCTGTCATTTCAACAGTTAAAACCGACCGGTTATAAACGGTAATTCAAAGCTGTCATTCGTTGTTCAAGGGCTGTATTTCACAGCTGTCACCAAATCTTCTGACACAATTCAACTGCAGCTCCATTCACTTGTGACACATGTGTATGGACCGGTCTGTGAGACGGACTATAGCCGAAGCCTACACATAAATATTAATAGATAGATAGATTACGTATAAAATGGTCGCTAAAGATCATAGCCATTTAATCCTCTTTACTTTGAGTTCCAGTCATAAATCTGAATTTTTGATGAAGTTGCAAGAACTGTGACCTTTTATATCTAACCAACTAGAAGTGTCCCTAAATTGGATACGATCCATTTTGTTCAAACTAACATTTTGTAGAAAAATCACGTTAACGTTCAGAATTTGACCATAATGCGGATATACGAAAGAGGAAGAGTCGAATAAGACAAATAATTATTAACCCAAAATCTAACAACATCCAAATACTTAAGGCACAAAGGGGAAAAAAAAAAAAAAAAAAAAGAAGAAGTTATGTCAGCAACCTAGTACAAATATTATTATTGATACAAAGAGCTCTACAGTACGGTTTGAGCTTTATACTACACAACTATGGATGGTCATATCCAAAGCCTCATAATTAATCAGCAAACACACTTTAGAATCTTCAGGAGGAAAAAAGCAACACACCTTAGGAAATTACAACGACAATATATATAATATACTATGTGATCATTAGTATTATCATAGTGTTTTAACAAATGGCAAGGACCTAGCTAGAACTGAAATATCTCGTTTTGTATGGTTAGCTGATATGGATTATTAGTCGTCATTGGTACAATGTCAAGAGCTGCAGTGTTCTGATCTGCCTCTATCTGCAAAAAAACACACACACACACACACATATATATCTTTAATTTAAGTATATACGTTAGAAAACCTTCTTAATGATCTTAATTATCACCAGATCATGAGGAACAAGAGCTAATATTGATTTGTTAAAATGCCATATCTCTTTACCTTATCTTGGAGATACTTATTTGCAGCTTTCAGTACTCCTTCCTGCATGATACGAATAACGTAAATGGGATTCTTTAGTACGTACGCCTAATTATTAAGATAATTGTTGAAATAAATATCATGATACAAATCCATTAACCAAGTAACTATAAAAAGTTGTGTCAACGTGTCCTGCGTCATCTATATATATTACGTGTGTTTTATTATGCGTGTATAAATATATATGTGCGCGGGCGTAGCATATTTCTTATCAGGTAATTAGTATATATTTTTTACTATCTCTGAATGTTTGTTTAATGAAACCAATGCAAATGCTATATTAATTTGGCACTAAAAAAATGTGAAAAACGAAATATTTAGTTTATTGTTTTTATTTGTGTTTTAATACATAATGTTACTTCAAAGGTTATATATTAATTTTATCATAATTATTAAACCTTAAGAATTGTATAAATAAAATTTTAATATTAAAATAATTTGACAATACCTAACTTGTAATGATTAAACGAAAAAATATAAGTAGATCGATCAATCAATTATTTAGCAAACACATATTAAAATTTGGCATATAATATACTTTGACGCCGAACTTGCTATTAATTATAAGTATGTCAAATTTAACACTAAGAATAGCACTCTATTAGAGAGTGATTTTTCTATATAAATACTAAAATTTGATATTAGCACACTAATTTCGGATTGCTACTTTGATGTTAAAATGTTTGAAAACATCAAGTCATGCACTAAGAAAATTATACATGAACACCATACCACCGTACTTTCAGAAAGTATTTATTCAGTTTAGTTTAACGGTATATTTACTTCACATGAAAGGGGAAAGATTAACTAAGACTGATTCGCTTTCCCGTATTTATCTATAAAATTAGTAATTAGAGTTTGTGCCTCACACAATATTAAGTACGAGAAAAGTGTTAAAGTATAAAAGCTATTGTTAGTCCATTTCCTAATAACTTAAGCTTTTAGAATGAATTAGTAAATTAACATGGTATCAGAGCGAGATGTACTGAGTTCAAATTCCCATAATTGCAATCTTTATTCCTATTTAAATTGTCATCATGTGTTGGGTTTTTAATATATCTCGAGCTTAAATATTCACGTGTTGGGTTTTCTAATTAATTTACTCACACATTGCCCATTGTCCAGCCCACACGTGAGGGGGAGTGTTAAAATATAAAAACTATTGTTGGCCCACATCCTAACAGTTTAAGCTTTTGGGATAGATTAGTAAACTAACATGTTAAAATATAAAAACTATTGTTGGCCCACATCCTAACAGCTTAAGTTTTTGGGATGGATTGATAAACTAACATGGTATTAGAGAGGGAGGTCTTGAGTTCAAATCCCCGTAATTGCACTCTTTATCCCCATTTAAAATTGTCATTATGTGTTAGGTTTTTAATATATATTGGGTTTAAATATTCTCGTATTGGACTTTCCAATTAATTTACCCACACGATTGCCCATTGTCCAGCCCACACGTGAGGGGGAGTGTTAAAGTATAAAAACTATTGTTAGCTCCCTTCCTAACAACTTAAGCTTTTGGGATTAGAGTTAGTGTGCCTCGCACAATATTAAGTATGAGAAAAGAGAATCCCAATTCTTGCACCCTTGGAATTGATTTTAAGTTAAAGGGATTGTTTAATTATGTACAGGTTGTTTAGCAATTATATTGATGAGATTCTTATTCTTAAGTTTAGTAAATACTAGGAAGAGAATTGAATTGCTTCCTATTCTCACATTAAATAGATAAGTAAATACTAGAAAGTTAATCACTAAAACTCATGTTTTATTGAAAAAAAGAGACAAATACTCCTTAAAGTATATGAGTCTAGATTTTTACTCCTTATCAAGATTCATACACTTCAAGGGTAAGTTAAAAAATTTTCTTTTTTTTTTTATTACTTTACTTTCCTTTTTAGGTTCAGTACTACTTTTTCTATTACATATTTCTTTACGGTTTGGTAAAGCAACCTCAAAATAAGCAAAGTGATATGCAATTTTTTCGGACGATGTAATGTGGTAAATAATTGACAATAAATTACATAAAAATACCTCTTGTATTCAATTTTTTTTAATCAATGTATCCCTTTGTTTTTAAAAACTATAGATATATATATTCTTCCCTTTCATTCACTTTCTAAGAAGAAAGGCAAAATAACAAAAGTACTCTTTAATAGCTTCTAAAAAATATTTAAAGAAAACTTTTATGTTTTTCTTCAAAAGCGTCTTCAAAAGCGTTATGTACCACAGATCTTCTTTTCTTCAAAAAATTATGTTTGTAGGGTTTGATAGTTTTTAAATGATTAAAATATTTTTTAACTACTATTTAAGGGTTTAAACTTTTTGTTTTATTCTTTTATCCAAGAAATACATGGAGGATAAAATTGAAACACATTTTCTCAAGTCTAAAGCATACCTTTATTGTTTTGGAACACAGACAAATAAATGGGAGAAAAATTAAAACTATAAGTTATAGCAATCGCCCATATTTCAAATTGGTGAAATAAATTTTTAAAGAATTTATACAATTATAGCTATATATGGAATAATATAATGAATAAATACATAATTATATTCATGCTGTTTATTGATAATCGTGAAAGTAAAAATCATATGAATATATGATGGTACCATTTCATAACAAAAGTATGTTGCTCAACAAATTTTATTAATAACCTAGTGACCTAACTATTCAATTTAAGTTCTTACAAATATAACATAACAGTAATTCCACTTGATTCCTTTTTAAGGTGTAGTTTAAATCCGCTCACCTCACAGTTTTTTTTTTTTTTTTTTTTTTTTTTTTTTAAAGGTACTAATGAATATATTTTTTAATTTGCTCGAAGCAATTTTAAGCTTGAAACTAACCTTATTCCTCAACAGTTGAATCTCTTGAGACATAATGTCCATCTGCATTTTACCACGTAATGAATCAGTCTTTTAATCAAAAGGTGGAAAATTATTAGGGGTATAGGAGATATCAAATCTATGCACATATATTGTAATGTGAGTTATCATGTGGCATGTATATATAGCTAATGTCTAATAAGTATAATATAGTCAATTTAGAACTAGTTTATACTAAACATATTGTACCTTTGTTGAGCGTATATGATAAATCCAAAATTCAAGATTCTTTTCAAGAACTTGCAGTTCTTCTAGAGTCATTGTTCCAGCTCCCCCTCCAAACATATAACTGTAAGAATCATTTTACATTTCCATATACAATTCTCTCAGTAATATGAATAAGCAAATTTATTTTTAAAAAAAAAAAAAAAAAAACAAAGAAAGAGGTTTTTCCTCTTTAAACCTAGTGTACCTGAGACCTTTTTGCAGTACTTCAATCTCTTGTTTCAGCATGCTTATCTCAGTTTTGGCATTCTGCAGGGAGGAAAAGACGAAGGACATACAAAAATTTAAAGAGAAATGAAATAAAAATCTCTTAAAGTGCATAGATCTCTATTTTTATCTCTTATTCTTAACTAATTTTTTAAATTAAATAATTATATTAATTAAAAATGGTATTAATTAAGAGTAAGCAATAAAATTCTAGATTGATAAACTCTAAAAATAAATTCAACAATTTTCTCAAAATATTAAATTTAATGAATTATTGATCAAAGAGTGTCGATGACAAAATAGCTTATGTCTAATAATTAGTCCGATATTCTCATAAATTTATTCGCAAAAAGTGTCGATGGAATCTCTTTATATTGATTTGGCATAACATATGATTTCGGATTGATTCATTCTTGTTCTGCCGTGTAACGACAAAATTGTAATTTCCTTTCCGTTGAAAGTCAAAATATTCTTTTCCATACAGAACGTGTTTATAACATAATGCGATCCATTTGGCTTGGCCATCAATGAGCCTGAAGTCTTTAATAGTTGATTTTTTTTTTCTAAGAATCTTTACAGTAGTTGATAATAGTCATATCTCCCCAAAGATCTCCCTATCCACTTAAAAATGAAGAGATAATGTCGCATGCAATTTTTAATTTATAAAACATAACATTCATTAATAATATTTTATAGATATAATTCTTTCATAATTAGTACAATACATATAGCTGAAGAAAAAAAATATTAGATATTTTAAGATCTCCTTATAAGATTTAAACTTAAATAAAATATAGAATTATTATCATTGGTGTCCCTAAATTTTTAGGATCGCCGTCAATTTACTCCTGAATTTTAAAATTCTCACTTTACTTCTTGAATTTTAAATTTTTCTCACTTAACTTCTTGTATAGTAATTTATGTCATAAACAGGTAGAAAAAAGATAGTAATACAGTTACGTAGTCTTTTTATTTAAATTTATGTTAAAAATAAACATATAAAAACCATATAGTCACACTTAAATCTTTCTTTTTCATTTGATTTTAACAAAAATTCTTATAAAAAAGGTTTAAATGTGACAAATTTAAAGTTTAGGAAATAAAGTGAAAGTTTTTAAAATTTAAAGAGTAAAGTGACAATGACCTCAAAATTCAAGAGCACTAATAAGATTAATCCTAAATATGGGATAAAAAGAGGATCCCCTACTGTGTGCAGCACCATATAAATTTATCGTGTAAGTGCCCAACCACCCAAAATATCGTACAAGAGGACATGATCTACAATAACAAGTATATAATAAATATTCTCATATCAGACCATATTCTTTGTTCAATTTTGATATCTTAAATAGTATCTAACTTACATTATGTCATCTTGTCTAAAAATTTAAAATGTTGTTTTACAAATTATTACATGATTTTCCATTCTAGTCTACTAAATGAAGTGTGATAACAGTGGTTAGTCAAATATTCTTGGAGCACTCAAAATTATACAGAGATCAATATTCTGAATACCTCAGTCCCGAATAATACTACAATAAATTAAGGGCTTACTCATTTGCATTTATTGAGTTTAAGTGACTTGAGTTCAGATCTTGATTTAGGTTAAGGTATATTTGAATATGGTTTGAGTTAAGACTCTAATTTGAGTTTGTGTTTAGATGTGCACATTTTGAGTTATGGTTTGAATTGAGAATCTATTTGAGTTTGTGTTTGAGTGGGTCAAAACTTGAATTTGTATTTAGATAGTATTTTAATAAAAACTCAATGGTGATGGAAAATTTTAATAGGGTATATGGGTGATTTTTTATTCGTCTTTTCATTGTGCACGCATAAAAAAATCATCTCAATCGAAATTAAAACGAAAAAGTTAAGGCGGGCTTGTTCATTTACATTTTTTGAGTTAGAGTGACTTAAGTTCAGATCTTGATTTGAGTTAAAGTGTATTTAAGTATGGTTCGAGTTGGGACTCTAATTTGAGTTTGTGTTTAGATGTGCACATTTTGAGTTACAGTTTGAATTGAGAATCTATTTGAGTTTGTGTTTGAGTGGGTCAAAACTTGAATTTGTATATAGATAGTATTTTAATAAAAACTCAATGGTGATGAAAAATTTTAATAGGGTATATGGGTGGGGTTTTATTCGCCTCTTCATTGTGAACGCATAAAAAAAAATCATCTCAATCGGAATTTAAACGAAAAAGTTATGACGTTTTTAAGAATAAAAAAATACCATTTATTAACTTGAGTTGAAGGGGGAACTCGTTGAATGGAAAACTTGAATTCAGGGCCTGTTTAGTTGCAGCAACTCACTCGGGGAAAGCCCACTCGAGTGAGTTTTTGCCCAAGTTTGCGTTCGGCGTTGTTGGTCTCGAAACAAAACTTGAAAATTAATTCGAGTTACCTACCTTTTCTTGAGTTCTGCCTACCCCTTGCTACTCGAGTTTACTTCTCTAGATTTCTACAGTGCATAATCCTGTTACAGATTTCAAAAGACCTCAACTTGGGCTATGACTCGAAGCAGCGTTAGTCTTCGAATGACAACACAACAATTTGCTCGGCGATGACAAATAGACAGCAACGACAGCGGTGCGGCGAGCGGCGAAGGGAGAGCGGTGAGTGGCAAGCGGCAGAGATCGACGGAGCGTGGGGTAGTGGTGGTTCGGCACAGAGATCGACGGAGTCCCGGAGAGGGTGGTCGATGCACAAACTGTGGGATTTGGTCTAGGTTTAGCTGTGAATTGTGAACTGTAGCGCAAGAATAGAATTGATTTGCAGAGGCTTATGTTTATGATTAGTTTTGGTTTTTGCTAATTTGCTAATTTATTGTTTTTCTTTGGTTTGGGTTTTCTTGTCTCTTTTGTTATTTTGTTTTGTGAATGAAAGGAAAAAAATCAAATAAATTCAAAAAGGGGAAAAAAATCTCTCAACTATTTACAACTCAAGTCCTAATATAAACAAACATGGGCTTGTTCATTTACACCCAAACTCGAAAAAAGTTTAAACTCAAGTTACAACTTTATTCAAGCTCATGTTCTTTTGTAAAATTTGAGTTTGAACTGGAGTTTTAACTTGAGTTTGGCACTAGAACCCGTTCGGTTCGCTAATTTGAGTTTTTAATTCGAGTTGAGATGTGATGTTGTGTGAGAGCTTTTTACTGTAGCAAAAAAGTTAGATGTGACTGTTTCTAAGAGTTTTTTACTGTAGCAAAACTCGAATTCTAAACTCGAATCAACGAAAAGAACGGGACCCGTCTATAGCTAAATGTTTTGTTTACGGCTTTGTACTAAGAGAAAAGTGAAGAGAAAGAGTGCCTTCTTTTGAGAGAAAGAGAGAAAAGTGAGGAGATAGATGAGCAAAGGGTGTGAGGGGTTTTGGGTAGAAAGAGAGAGAGAGAGAAAATTTATTGAGTGTGTAATTCTAAAATTATTAGTAAAGTTTTTCTTCATCTTCTGTGTACGTAGGAAATTTTTCTGAACTACTTAAATCTTTTTCTTATCTATTTTTCTGTTAGTTTTATTTCAGTTTAATTTTTTTGTTGTATAGGTGTAGGGATGTATTTTTCTCCAAACATATGGGCGGCATCATTACTAATTAATTAATGTTTATACATATCTTTGTAAACTATTGTTCTTATATTATTTTTAAAAGATCTTAGATCAGGTGGTACCGGCATCTGATGCTGGAAATCTTTTTGTGCGTGATAGAATAGAGATCATGATCTGGTCGTGCCTTTTGCTTTGTCTGTTTCTTAGCCGTTAATAATTATTAGCAGGGGCCCGGGGTATATAGAAATTGAGTTATAATTAATTAGGTACATTAGCACTTTATATATTGGTTTGTACTATGTGTTCTATATGTTAAATTTCCCTCCTTTAGGAGAGCATTCATTCCACACAAAAAACAAAAGGAAGGAAAGAAAGAAAAAAAAAGGTTCTCCTGTTTAAACTTTTTATTTTATTTATTTATTGTTTACGTTTACTGTAGAGCTGAGTGAAAGATCAGGTGCAATGAACTAGTAAATTAGGAAAGCATATATATATATAGCGCATATATATGGAACTGAAAGTTTCATGGGCACATACCAAAGATTGCGTTTGCATGGTCTCGTCAGCCTGAGCCTGCAGAGACCCTCGGGTTGATTTCATGTACCTCTCCATAAGCCCTTGCATGGTTCTTGCATATATATTATATATTTGTGTATATACAATGAAAAATATTAGGCAAATTCGATAATAATATATATTATTGTATAATATGTGTGTATAAAAAGTTAGCAGCTTCATTAATTAAAATCATCCAGTACACTATATATAATACTTTCATCCTCCATTTTCATACGTGTGATTACATGCTAACATGGTCATTGTCAACATAAGTTTGTATAAACTTTCCGGAGTAGATATAAAAGCTGGAAATTAGTAATTACACAAACAATGAAACTACGTGCACTTTTGAGTACCAAAAGAAAAGAAAAGAAACAGGTGATCATCAGTTGACAAATATCCTATTTTTAAAGTTTTTTTTTTTTTTTTTTTGCGCATTTCAAAGTAACAATCTTATCATAATTTGGATTTAGAATTATTTATTGTTTATCTAACAAAATAATATAAAATAAAAGGAAGAATACTCAAATCAATTAGCTAGCACAGGAAAGCAACATGCGATGCGAGAGCTGGGTCAAGCCTTGTTATAGAAAGATCGGAATAGACCAAGATTGACGGTGCATACCCTTTGGTGGCGAGCTCGTAGAGCTTCCCATGGGCGGAGAAAATGAAAACTCCGATTTCGGCATCGCAGAGCACGGAGAGCTCCTTTGCCTTCTTCAGAAGCCCAGCCCGGCGCTTGCAGAACGTTACCTGCCTGTGCACCGGATTCTCAATCCTCCTCATTTGAACCTTTCCACGAGCCATAATCAATATGCCGATTCGATGGTGACAATGAATTGTATTATATGATCTGATCACGTACAACGTAGCTTCTTCTTCTTTCTTTCTTTCTAATCAACTTGATTTAAGGATATATTCACAATATACTAATTATATTGGACGATTAATTTGGTAGCTAAGCTGCGATGTCTGCAATCACCAAAAAAGAAAAAAGAAAAAAAAGCGGCGATTTTTGCAGACAACCTCCCACTAGTTTGAACTAGCTTCGAGGCTGTTGCAGTAGTACTAGAGTTATGAGTAGCGTTTGGCTCTCAAAAATTGTCTTCTAGTTGTCTCTCTCGCATTGAAGCTTAAAGCCTTATATACTTCCATGAATAGATTCTCTTTTCCAACAGCTCTCAATATCTCTCTTCCGGCCAGCAACAGGCCATAAGAATAAATACTACTAGCTAGTCGGCATCTACAATATGGCTACTTTAGCTAATACATCTTTTTACCAAATAAAACGCTATTTTTAATCTCTAATCTCTTTGGTTAGTTACTTTTGAGAGATCTCTGTTGTCTATCAATCCCTCTCTCTTTCTCTCTCTACCAAAAAAAAAAAAAAAAAAATTCGCAACTAATAAAGCTAGCATCAAGATTCCGGCAGAACTATGACAAATAATTTGGCCATTTCATTTGAGGTGATATCTAGAAATCATGTGAATTAAATTTGTTTTATGTAAAAGTGACAATTCCCAAGGAGGCTTAATAATCACGATCGATACACGAAGTAATCAATGTATATATAAGTTAAAGTGTGACTATGACAACTACGTACAGTTTCTTAATTAGTACTTTAGGTAGATTATCAGCTGATAACAATAATTAGCAACACTCATCAGAATCATGGCCATGATTTTTGTTTACATCCCCTGTCTGCATGATCGCTAAATTAATTAATAATTTGCTATCTCTGATTGGGACGAATATCATGAACTTTATATATCCTCGCAAATCCAGTTCAATATATTGTATCCACTTCATAACTGATCTGTTTTAGTCGAGAATGTGTGTGTGTGTGTAGAACGTCACTTTTGATCTAATCACAAATAGTTCAATTCATATAATTATTCTCCGACCTAAAAAATATATAGTAAAAGGAATTATACATTAATACAGAATATTAATTCACAATGATTGAATATATATATATATATATATATATATGTATATATGAAGCTGCACATTTGTAAAGTAACAGTGCTAATAACTGGCTAGAGTATTGTCCCAGCAAAAAAAAAAAAAAAAAAAAGTGTAGAGTATTGTCAATACTCAATACTTAGATACAGATTATGCAGTGGCATGCATGCTGTATTATTGGTGGATGCCAGCAACATTTGTGGACACAACTTCTTTTTTCTTTTTTATTTATTTAGTTTTCTCATGTTCTTTTGACTAATTTCATGGGACTACTTTAAAGAACGGCAGAGACGGAATTAGCAGAGTACCTAGGGCAGTCCTACAAAATAAAAACTTCAAGACTTGAGCAAAAGATGTGAGAGAAAAGGAGCGTGTAATTAATTATTATAAGTTAATTAATTATTAGTTATGCTTGGGACAGTTGAAAGTCTATTCAGCATGCAAAGTTGCCTTTTTTCATGTGCAGGCCCCTACTCCATATTCCATCACTTCGATGAGCCAATAAACAGCCCAAGTTGGGATGCTAATTAATTCGCTTTTCTCTCTTGCTTTTATCTCCGTATTCCTTGGCCAAGCTTTCCTTGTGTTTGCTGATCTTTTGTTTAATTTTCTGACAACCAAATACTTTTGTAATCTTTTGGAGCTCTTTCGGGCTTATAATTATCAAACAGTTTGCGTCTGCCCTTTTCCATTCCTCTTTTAAGGAGCTTTATGTGGTAGGGTTACTACATCGGTATCGGTAGTGTAATAGTATATATGATAGTTCTCTTTAAAATCCCATAAAAAACGTGAACAAATATACAAAAATAATGTAATCATATATAAATTTAACAGTTCAAACATAGCTGTTGGTAGGGTATTCTTTCATTATATGCCGTAGAATTCTCATTTTTAAAAGAAAAATCAGACAATTTTTTCTAAATATTACAGTGATATATAATGACTAAATTTAAACACAATAATATCTTTTTAATCTTAAAATTTTTTTAGAAAATGCCTAAAATATATTTACTATAACAACAAATTAACTCTTTTACCCCTTAAATATTTTACAACCAATATCTTCCTAAGAGCTTTGGTTTTTATTATATAGTTTCTTTGTTTATTTTATTCTCTTTAAAGGTCATATTTTCAAGCCTTTCATTAATTTGTAGTTTTCTTTGAAATTTCCCCTCTCAAAGGGGTTAATATTTAATGCTTTTTAATATAACTAAAGAGTGTCTTCATGATATTAATATAACTAAAGAAACACAAGTAGAGTTTTTTCGGGCGTTAATATTTTGCATTTGCTTAGGCTTAATTAATAGTTGATAAATCCTCTCAAAAGGGTCGTAAGGGGTCTTGCGGCCCACTATGATTAGTGATTATTACTTCTAATGAACAACATTACTTTTGTTTGTTTAGTGCATTTCGTGAGAATGGCTTTAAAATTTTTCTTTCCATCTTAACTCTGAAGAAAGAATCTTGTCAAATCCCTCGCGTTCAATAGAAAACCTAAAAGAGATTTTCCTTCGATATATTAAAATAAATTATAGTATGCATGAAGAGGCTTCAATAGTTGCCACGCGGATGCATTTCTTTCTTCTGTGATATAAAGCTAGATTCGACATATATAGTTCTGAGTATTACTTTATGCAGTATATAATTACTAATGGGCTCTAGAAATTTTTTAAAAAAACGACACCATGGATTTGGAATTTTATTCTTTACTCTTGATTACTATTTTTATAGTTAAATAAGTTAAAAGAGTGTAAATCAAGAGTACGGACACTCTAAGGGCAAGTTCAATAATTTTCTCAAAAATAATAGAAATATTGTTGAATTTATCCTTAGAGTTTATGATTCTAAATTTTTATCCATTATTTTTAATTAATATCTTTTTGACTAACATAGTTTAATTGACTAAAAAATATATAAATTAGGAGTAAGAAATATAAATCCAGACTCATACATTTTAAAAATATTTGTATTTTTTCTAAAAAAGTAATTAATTTAAAGTCCATATTTTTTAGCTCCACTGTTTTTTGCTTTTCCTTTTTGAGTGGTTATATCTCTTTAGGCCACTAAACGCCTACTTTATAGTATTTTGGTTGTTGGCCTTTATATGTGAATAATGGAATATCTATTGATTGTATACATGGGACTCTTTTTTTTTCTTTTTCTTTTTTTTTTTTGCTAGTATACGTGGGACTCTTTTTTTTTCTTTTTCTTTTTTTTTTTTGCTAGTATACGTGGGACTCTTTTTTTTTCTTTTTCTTTTTTTTTTTTGCTAGTATACGTGGGACTCTTTTTTTTTCTTTTTTCTTTTTTTGTTGTTGTTGCTAGTATACATGGGACTTGGTTAATTACGTACTGAGAAGGTGCCCTCAAATGAACTGGAGTTACTGGACGAGGATTATTTAAGACCGATGAGTTTGGTTTGTAAATATGTATGAATAAAATAATCATAGCTCGTTAGGGGAATGCTATATGCATAAATAAACATGCAGATCCATTGATCCTAAACTAATAGGGGCGTTTGGTACACAATAATTAGTGGGAATTATATTTTTAAAAAAGTAATTAGAGGTAATATGATTTTAGAAAATCTACATTATCATGTTTGGTTGCGTATATAAATCTTCTTTAAAATTTCTAGTAATAATATATTACTGTGTTTAGTTGTGAAAAGAAGGTAGTATACTAGACCAAAAAATAAACTATTATATCATTTTTTTTAAAAAAATTACTATTACTTATTTCACCATTAATAAGATATCGATATTCATATTTTTTTTTAAAATAATTACCCTCATAACACTAAAAAATATAACCAAACATGTCATTAAAGAGGCTTCTGATCAAAATGTCCATGATGACATTCATACATAACAAATAGTCCATAAACTTAGCAAATAAAAAAAGGTCTCAAAATGTTCCCTGAAGTCATCTATACTCAAAATGCTCCCTCTTTCTTTTTCTCCTTACTGCTGGTGTTGAATGAACATAAATGTCATTCCGTTAGGGATCTACGTATATTGAACCAATATAGCCACCATTTTTTATTTATTTATTTTTTTGTGTCCAATGGAAGAAGATCCATATCTGCCCATTTACCAGCCAAAAAAAAAAAAAAAAGGATTCAACAGAAAATAAAAATAAAAGTAACAACGAACAGAACAAAAAATTACAGACAAAAATGAAAGAGTGAAGCAATGCAAATAAAACAAAGGATTCAGCCAACTAAAAAAGAAAGAAAGAGCTGCAAATGAAGGAATGCATACGTACAGATAAAAAGGAAACAAAGGATTCAGCCACTTAAAAAAAAAAAAAAAAGGGAAAAGTGAAAAAAAGAAACGCACTGATCGTAGTGTTATAGCATATTTCAAACAAATGATCAAGAAATCAATGGAAACTCAATAGATTATTCATTTAGAAGAATTTTAGAATACCCTGAAATATTTTTCAGAGAATAATCTACAAAAAAGGAAGACAAAAGTCATACTCTGAAAATGGTGGCGGCAGCACAGGGAAGTCAGGCAATGGCGGCACGATGGACGGAAGACCGGCGGCGGCGGCGCCATGGTGAATGGAGGGGCGGCAGCAACAAGGTGAGATGGAGGCTTGGAAGAGATGAGTAAGCAGTTAGGGTTGTAAAATTTTTTTTATCATTATATTCACTAGAACGGGGAGAATTACAACTCCGTAGGTGAGTTTAAGATTACCTTAAAACCTGGTAATGCAAAACCATGTGCTTCACTTTTTTAGATTTTAAAAAAGACCAATAAATGTAATAAATATGAGAATCTTTCGATCCTCATTCCCACCATTGAGATTACCCCATATAAATGCCCCATAAACAA